CCCCCCACAAAATATTCCCTCCCCCAACACACTGTGTTCTCTGATCTCTACAGATTGCCCCTATTGCTATCAAAATCAAGAGAGGATACCATCCTGACATAGCTAGCCAAAGATAAAAACCATAAACAACAAAAGGGAAGAAAAAGGGTTTATGGAGAGATAGATCCAACCATTGCATATGTAAAATTTATATCAAAATTGATTAGACATACAGAAAATTGTGAATAAATAAGATAAAATTGGATCTCATAAAAATTTTACATTCAATAGGTATATGCCCATTCAGTACAGTCTCAGGCCAATAGCTATATATACACACACACATACAATAAGAATGCATAATAATCCAAAATGGATATTCCAATTACATAACTGACATGATTGTCCTAATAGCCCCAATGCTTTTTGCAATTTTAGCTTTTTCAGGGGACCGGTAATTAGTAGTCATGCATAAGCAATGACTGAGATAAAACCAATTGTGAGGAGGATCGAATGATTAGGTGGCTGGAAAACAGCCAACCGCCACACTCCATCCTCAACTTATCTTCAACCATTGGTAGTATATTCATGGGGGATATGATATCCAACTATTTATCAATATATTCTACTTGGGTTTACATTGGTTTCTTTTATTGACTGCCCTAGAGTTTGCTGGAATAATTTGGGTTGGTTCCTAGTATTAATATTATTTGGGCGAAGAGGGTTCTTTACAGTAAGAGCGGTTAAGTTCTGGAACTCACTGCCATCGGCAGTGATTTCAGCCAAGAGTGTAGATTTGTTCAAGAAACGTTTGGACAATTTCTTGAGGGACCGTAATATCCAGGGATACCAGTATCCCTAAGAATGAGATGATGCATGGACCTATATGGGTTGGACTTGATGGACGTATGTCTTTATTCAACCCCAAATACTATGTAACTATGTACTCACACCTAGCTGCATCCTAATGTATTATTATACAATTGGTATTTGTTTATAGGTATCCTGAGGCAGATAGTGTGCTTCCTATATCTGATCGCCGTCGTTTTCTCTCTATCCTCTCTGTT